TGTCACGTGGATTTCATGTTACTGTCAGTCATGTGGATTTCATGTTACTGTCGGTCATGTGGATTTCATGTTTCTGTCTGTCACGTGGATTTCATGTTACTGTCAGTCATGTGGATTTCATGTTACTGTCGGTCATGTGGATTTCATGTTTCTGTCTGTCACGTGGATTTCATGTTACTGTCGGTCATGTGGATTTCATGTTTCTGTCGGTCATGTGGATTTCATGTTACTGTCTGTCACTGTCGGTCGTGTGAGTTTGATGTTACTGTCGGTCGTGTGAGTTTGATGTTACTGTCGGTCGTGTGAGTTTGATGTTACTGTCGGTCGTGTGAGTTTGATGTTACTGTCGGTCGTGTGAGTTTGATGTTACTGTCGGTCGTGTGAGTTGGTTCGGTGAGTTTGATGTTACTGTCGGTCGTGTGAGTTTGATGTTACTGTCGGTCGTGTGAGTTGGTTCGGTGAGTTTGATGTTACTGTTGGTCGTGTGAGTTGGTTCGGTGAATTTGATGTTACTGTTGGTCGTGTGAGTTGGTCGTGTTAATTTGATGTTACTGTTAGTTATATTATTAAACCATTTATCAGTATTTCATACTGATCAGAATTTAGGTCAAAACTGAAAATGAAATATTGTTTACTGGACCTGAAAACAGATACCATTTAAGAATCAAGCTGATCATGCTTCTGATAAGAACAATTATACTCAGAAATGAAGAAAATGTTGAGAATTTTCGTTCTTTCACTATGTGAATGATAGGGTAAGTGCTCTTTGTTTAAAATCAGCTTCACTCTTTTCTATCCAAACAAAATATGGTTATATTTTAGGTAATATCAATCAATATTTTCATCTTTTTAAATCATTAGATGAAATAAAAAGAATAGCAGAATAATGTATACATGTACATCAGGTATGAAAGATAGAAATTAGACTCGTACTTTGTAAAAACATGGCATCAGACCTGATGAGTTCAATTGTTGATGTTAACACTTCTGTCTTCTCACAGATCTATAAACAGTTGTTTAATGAAAAAAACAACAAATTGTGTGAAACATTAAATATTTGTATATGTTTTTGTATGATATTTGAAATGAAATATAAATATGTAAATTTTTAACAAACTTCCTTTTTTTTTTATTTATTAAGGGGATTGGGGAGGGTTAAAACTCTTCCAGAGTTTAAATTCAAGACATTGTAACATGTGAACTTTCAGAAAACAGTTTGTGACCTTGAAAAATTAAGGAAAGTCGAAGTTTTAATTTAGATGCGAAGTATAAAGGAAAGCAACTTGTATACTTCCAAACTGAGATTCTGTGGAATTCTGTAATTATTGCACAATGCACACATTTTTACATATCATTGATTACTTAAAAAGTCACTTCATTGAAGGTACTTTTTAGCAAATATTCAAAATCCTTTATTCTTGTCAATCAAGACATTTGAATTGAGTCATGAAGACTTGATGCAGTGGTTAAAAAAATGAAACAAGTGTGTGATATATTATAAGTTGGTTAATTAGATGTTTTCAGTCTCCATGACTCTTCCTTTTACTAGGCATTTTCTCACCAAGAAAAGATGGTGTTCTGGCAGCAGGGTAATATATGGATGTGCACATCATACTATCAGAACTATGATTGGGTCATACCCAGGCATGGACTTGCCAGATAAATACAATGGTAAATTGTGAAAATAAATTTCAGCTTATTATTGAATTCAATATGTAAGATAAATTTAAATCAGTATATGATGTAGATCCATAAAACAATAGAAAACTGAATTTAGTGTATTCAAAACATTGCATTTAACACGAAAAGTATTTATATATATGTGTGTGTGAATGGTGAAATTACTATTGAAAATCAAAAGAAACAAATTTAGCAAAAAAATTAATTTGAATGTTGAGAATTATTTCAGTAGCAGTGACAAGGTTTCTGATTTGATGACATCGACAACATTCAAATGGGTGTGACTTTAGTGGGAAAAATCAGACCCTCAGTTGTCACAAACTGAGGTCAAATAGCAAAAGGGTTTTTCCTAAATCTATCATACCCATAAATAAACTGCATGTGGAACTCAAAAAGGCTGTTAAGTGGCATTTGGAGCCATGTGTTTGAAATATGTATGTCTATATAAAAATGTGACAGTTTGGAGAAAAGCAGCAGTTTTATTACCCTGCTGACCTTTGACCCTATGACCTTGAATCTTGGTTCAAAATAGACTTAGTACCAGTCTCTACAACTTTTCAAGGCATTTGCCTATACAAAACATTTCGGAGAAAATTGGAAGTTTAATTTCTTAGTGCTGATCATGATGACCTTTGACCAAACAATCTTAAAAAATCTTTGCATCATTTCCTGAAACTTTTAAAAGCATGTGCCTTTGCAAACAGCAGACAGTTTTAAATTAACTTGAATGTTAACTTGCTGTTACAGTATTTTGGCTCATGCAAACATTACCCCACCCCTTGAGGATAAACGGCACATCCAGAGACCATGAATTTTACAATTTCGCTAGAGCTACTCTTTGAGAATAAAATCTTAATAAATACTCATTTCAGTAATGTCTCTAAGGAGGGAGTAGAGTTTTCAAATTTCTAAAAGTTTTAAAATGTTTTTATCACTGTTTGCCCTGCCACATGGGCCCAAGGAATGTGAATTTTGATGTTGATCCCGACTAAATATATGTGAGTTTGTAGTGCTAGCAAACATGTTTGGTTCGAATCTGTCCAGCAGTTCTTGAGAAGATGAAAATATGGTAAGTTAATAGATGGTGCATGACGATGGACAAAAATGATTGCAATACAAAAAAAAAAAAAAAAGATAAATGTTTCATCATTGGTTATAACATCATTTTTCATTCTTAATTTAAACACATTTATTGCCAAAAGATAGACAAGGGATTAGGCATAAGTGATTGCAACTTATCAATGCCTTCTCACAATATATGATTAAAGTGACATTACAATACTGACAATACAAATACAGTTATTTTTACCATTTGACATCAAAATCTCTTACTGGATTTAATACAGTTTTGCACAGATCTAAAAATGTTGGCATTAAGGTCAACGGAAAGTTGAGAATTGCCCAACAAAATAATTTCTATATATAACGCAATGTTCTATTTAGATTTTAAACTAAAATATATCTTTCATTTGAGAAATATTGACAGAATACAATAGTGAAAGACATTATCACAAGGATGACCACAATTACAAGATGCATTCTCAATGTGATTAAATCTAAAAAAAAAAGTCACAATTAAATGAACTGCACTGGTGACAGTATTAAGTTTACTGTTTTATAGTAAATCGGTGGACTTGACTGATTCTTTGATATTAAACAGATTTTGAATTATTTAATAGAGGGTTGGAATCCATCCAAATTTTCTAAGTTATTCCAACAGTAAAGAGTAGATGGTAGAAAAGAAGAGTTAGTAAGAGACAGTCCAAAATGAGGAATCCCATAGTCATTTCTATTATGTAATTTGTAACACTTATTTTTGCCAGATAAAGGTGGAAAACGATGATCAAGGTATTCAGGAGTTATTTAACTACGCATCTTATACATTAGCTGATGTTTCCTTATTTTTCTGCGATTAGATAAGACAAGGATTCAAGACAAGTTTCATAGTATAAAGTATTAATAGGGGTATATGAGGGCAGTCCTAATGTAATACTAGTGGCTTCACGTTGGACTTTTTCTAACTTTTCTGATTCAAAAACAGTGTAGCCGTCCTACGATTCACAAGCATATTCTAAAACAGGTAAAATAAAAGTCTTATGATTTTTTAAGAGCATCCCTTATTTAATAAGTGTTTCAATTTCTGTAAGACATTATTTTTGCGCATAACCAAAGTGTAAATTCCATTTACATGATCAACCCCACTTTGCATTGGAATTTTCATACTTATGAAATAACATAACAAAATCAATATGAAATACTAGATGAGATGTCAACAGCCCCAATGGTTGCCATTCACATGTACTGGGTCCACGAAAACGAAAGTACAAATAAATTGTTCCACGACACGTTAGCACCACCGTACTTCATACTGACAACAGAAACTGCAATTAGTTCAGAAAGCAAATCTGTCATATGTCAATATGCCTTTTTAAATTCATTTTCTTCATGTCATCTGGGTAAAATAAAAGTCCTATAACTTTTTTAAAAGAACATCCCTTATTTAATAAGTGTATCAATTTCTGTAAAACAGTACTTTGGTGCATAACAGAAGTGTGAATTCCATTTACATGATCAAACCCACTTTGCATTTGAATTTTCATACTTGCTTATCGAATTTCTTCAAGTATCATTTATTTCATTGAAAACAGATTTTACAAAAAGTACATGGATATTTGCCTGGGTGAAACACTTATAATATGCATAGAACTGAAAGTTAAATATGACTGTTTCAATTGAAAAAAAATCATAATGCGTTATTTACATTAATTTAGAAATATCTAAATGAGATATTACCGTTAATCGCACACATTACTTGCACTTACTACGAACATATAAGCTTTATACTTATTTGATACGGCTTTTTACCATTTATGGAACACTGAAGACAAGCATGGCGTGCAGTTCGACATCAGAATTAATTATAAACAAAGTGAAATAACATAACAAAATTAATATGAAATACTTGATGAGATGTCAACAGTCCCAATGGTTGCCATTCACATGTACTGTGTCCACGAAAACGAAAACGAAAGTACAAATAACTTGTTCCACGACACTTAAGCGTCACCGTAATTAATACTGACAACAGAAACTGCAATTGGTTCAGATAGCAAATCTGTCATCTGTCAATATGCCTTCTAAAATTTATTTTCTTCGTGTAACTTGGGTATTCTGGCCAAGTTGTATTTGAAAACAAATGCTGCTGCAGGCATAGAATTCCTTTTGAAATACGTTATGGGAAGGCTTGTAATTGACCCACCGAGGTGTGGTTGTTTACAAGCGGTCGTATGATCTAGATGAGTCATCTCGTTGTGACGTTGTCGGAATTTCCAGCGTTGTTTCCGAAATTCAAGGGGTCCAGAGTGTCAAAACATTGAACATTATTCTGGGAACAACGGCATATTGGAACGTGTGCTTACTTGCTAAATTTTTCTGCCGGAATTGCTATTTCCGAGTACAACGTATTACGCATTCCCACATGGAATCATATTGATGAATGAAAAAAATCCGCCTACACGAGACAAAATATTATCACATATTTAGACACCTGTATCTCGAATGTTATAAACTTATGTATTATGTCCGGCCAGGATCAAGATGTGTACTATATTTTACTTGTCCGAAAGATAGGTAGAAAGAAAGAACGGTCAATATTAAGACCATCTAATTCAGAAGTTGAAGTTTTGCCAGGAAGTTTATTGGTTCATATTGAAGAAATCAACAAACACGGACAACTAGTTTGGATTTTGGAACTGTTGGAACCCGACAGTACTGAAGTGGAGTGTTGTCTTGATGAAATACAACAATTAAAACATCAGGAGCGATACTTACTACAACCTATACCAGTTTTAAGTGAACGAGTGACAGTTTTTCATGACAAAACTTGGCTAAATGAGGGAGTGACACTTAGTGTAGGGGATCCGGTTATAGTATCTCTCAAAGGCAATCCGGACTTAGCTGGTATACTGAGATACAAAGGGGGACTGAAAGATAATACTGGTATTCAGTTTGGTGTAGAACTCTCAAGGGTAAGCGTATTTGAAGGAGTTATTGCCCTTTATCTTTATCACAGTTGTATGCCATTGTACATACTAAATATCAATAACAAAGATGAATATCTACCTATGTTTGTGCTTATATATTTTCATAATCATCTTTGTTATGTAAATAATTTACATAACCAGTGATTGATCTACAATTTATTTGCACACATGACTCCTGTGAATTATTCAAAAAGTTCATTTATACTCCATTGTAGTGATAAACAGCTATAACCTAAATGATGATAAGTAGTTTCAAGATAAAGGAAATGTTTTTTTCAATTGTCTCACAGATTGGCGTTGAAACTAATGATTTAACAATGGTTTTTGGCTTTGTGCACCAGGTAGTATTCTGGATTTCCCGGGATTTTTTTTCCATGTAGTATTGATAACAATGCTCTGTTCCTTATTGCATATTAGATTACAAAACAAGATCAATGTAATACATTTTTTTTTCTTGTCTGTATTATGTCCTTGAGTACACATGTTTTGAAAGTGGTGACATCATGTAATCAGTGTGGCTAAAGATCTGAAAAATTTATGGAGGATTGGTTTTTGACAGTAATTTTATCTGAAAACATTTACGTCACTTCACATTGATCTGTAGAGTTCATCCCTACTCCACCAACAATTTAAATAAACATTACCTGTAGTTACCTGTATTTATCTAGACAAAAATAAGTATAGCCCGTTTCAGTTCTTGCAAACATAATTCACCTGGTAAGCTATAAGCATGCAATAAGGAACTTGTGAAAAAGGAAAAAATGAAGGATAGGAAATTTAAGAAAATGTTTAGATAAATATTTTTAAAGACAGATCTATATATATATACACCATATGTATGAAGACATGAAGAGAACTAGTGGTTTTATAGCAGAAACATGATCATAATTATATGTATATAACTATTCATTCTTGTGTTTCACCATTGTATTCATTGACAAAGGCTCAGATTAGATAAGGCCTAAGTATTCTTTATAGAACTGCATTGACAAAAAATTTTTTTTATTATGACTCTAGCACTCTGCTGTATTCAATAAACAAGTGCATTGACAAAAATTTTATCAATGGATTGCATTACATTGTTATCATGGCCTTAGTATTGATTAGGTTTTCCAGTCTTTCTTGAATATCTTCCTGTTAACTATGCTTAAGTTTTCTGAGTTATACATAAATGTTTGGGTAAAAATAACAAAATTTGGATAAAGGTTTTATGATTATTGTTTTTAGGATATTTTTCAACAGAAGTGGTATGGCGAAAAAAATTTTTGCGGAGATGAAAACAGAATCACATGCATTTTTAATTAACTTTTTTTTTGTGTCTTGTTTTTTAATGAAAATACACTGTTTCCGTAAGTTAGGAATTCAGTAATTTTGAAATATTCAATTTCTAGGAAAAAATTACAGTATTCTCTCATATGCACCAAATGCTGTAAAATTCAGGTAGAAATAACACCATGATCATAATCAGGGCTATATCTATTTTCGAGCATGACCTTTCGATATGTGTTTTGTACAAAACTTCCTTATTGTCGAGGTGTGGTATGGTTTACTACTTGTCTTGCACACAAAAAATCTATTGTCTGAATGAAGCCACAACATCGATTTGGAAATTCCTATCATGTGAGGCAAAGATAAAACATGTAGCATTCCTGGTTTACTGTCTGGTTATTAATTACAGTCATAGTCTTACTGAATTTCTGAGCTAAATCATAAAAACTGTTCGGGTATGATTAAAGCTGTACAAAATGACTTGTATACTTTAAAAATCTGTTAATTTTTTTTTTCTGGATGAATTTAAAAATTTTCTTGTCAAAAAAATGTTTATTCGTCCTGCAATAAATTAAGGGGGCCAACACATTACATTTTAGTCAAATCAAAAGCTGGGCTTTTTACAAGACAATGCATGAGGAGAAAACATTATTATTAGTTCAATAACATATTTGGCAAGTTCTTTACCAAGCATGGGCTTGTTACTTAATACTGTTACCCGATAAATACTGTAAGAATATTAAACCAGACTTTTCTATATTATGATACAATATACAGTTAATTTTTAGATCTATTTGGCAGAATTTTATCAGGAAACACATATTTGGGACTCTGATGGTGGTAGCTCAGTCAGTACAGTGCTGGCTTACATATTAAGTCAGGTGAAGCCCGGAGATGTGTGACGTGATGCTCCTTGCCCATGGCAAATTGTGTTTCTCAGGAAGCTGAGAAATACTGATCAATCTGTACTGATTATTAGTCTTATTTTGATTCAAACCCATGATTTATAATTGACTGTTTATAAACACAATTTGGAACTAAATATTATTAACAGTTGAAATAGTCACTGATTTGTAGGAAATTTATGCATTTAATTTCAATTAACTGATAGTATTTTCAAATATCAATGAAAATTCATTTATGGACTTTTTCCACAGTTGTTTATACAAAAGATATGACCTTTAATTGTACTGCTAACAGATATGTGTTTCCACTTTTTTTTTTGGTAATTTTTTGTATTGGAAATTTGGAAATGAATTTTTTGATGTTGAACTTGTCACTTGCATTATGGGTAAATGTTGAGAGGGTTGCCATTCTAGTGCTGTAAATTATTCATACTACATTCAATTCCTTTATTCCAAATGCGAATATCCATATTTAGCATTAACAATTAACACGAGAGCAAGAAGGAGCTCATTACTTTGAAAGGTCACCTTGAGAATCACAGTTATCTAATGAATAAGATGTTAAATCTTTGCTTAAATATCACTAGTGAAATACACCCTGGAGAATTTTTCATTGGCTGTGAGGGTGAGAAATTGATTGTGGTGTCATAACATAGACAATGATGTGATGTCATGAATTGAAAATAGTTAATCATAATGGCTGCCTCTGTTTGATTTTGTCCTCATGACTTTGACTTTGAAAGAAATTAAAACTTTGTCCTGTTTTATAAAATCTCATATGGATTGGATTAATGAATTTTCACTTAAGATTCAATATATATGTGTGTGTGTATGTTTTCAATATATATTTTCTATTTTTTAGGAAAATCGGGGTAAAGGAACATGTGATGGCGTGTTTCGTAAAAAACGATATTTTACGACAGATCTGAATTCTGCAGTGTTTGTACCGTTAAGTAAGATTCGAAGAGACTTAACCAAACCAGCTAGCCATGGAGGGACAGGAGGAGCTACTGGTTTTACAAATGAACAGCAGACTTTTTCTGAATATCTTGATTTACGTGAAAAAGACCGTGTGGTATGGATGAGTGACAGTGGGCCTGAATATGGTGTTGTTAAATGGATAGGAATTTTACCCGACTCTCGTCATAAGGAAGTCACTGTTGGTGTTGAATTTGTAAGTGTTTCAATGTGTCAGAATTATATTTATTTAGATATAGTGATGTAAGTCATGGAGAAACATGAAATTTGTTTTAATAATAAAGTATCACATTAAGCTTATTCAGTAGACAACCTCTGGTGTAGATCCAAGATGTATGATTTTAGCCCTTTTTGGGTCATTTTTTGTTCAGTGGGAAGCTAAGATCACATTGTCTTTTCCATCAGCTGTTTCAGGGAGATTCTGCTTCAAAATTACCCTGGCTTCCACTGAAGCAATAAACCCATCAAAGTAAATAAGAAATATGAAAGTTATGTTTTATCTTAAGAGTTTTAATTTGTTAACAAGTTTTTGTTCTATAAAAGCCACATATTTCTTGCATTATGCCCAACAAATGATCTATAATTACATTTCTGACTCAAAAAAAGGTGGTGATTGGCTTATTACAACTACGATGAAAATTACAATCCTCACAAATTTAATTGGTTTTGTTGAAGAATAATCCCTGTTTTATTTTTCAGGATAATCCTGTGGGTTCGGGAACCGGTAAATATAAAAATTCTCGTCTTTTCTACGCAAAACCACAACATGCTTCTTTAGTACCCATCATGGGCCTTATGAAAGCTGATGATGTCACTGCCATGAGTACGGGTAAGTAGAATTGAAATTTTGCTTGAAGAATGCCTTAAAAAGTAAAACTTAAATTCAAGATTATTAAAAGAGTTTGTTATTTTACAGATTTATTTTTGTAGATAGTTCAAATTTTGCAATTTTGCTCAAGAAGAAAGGATATGCTGAATACAAGTTTTTTTTCGTTGTTTCTTGTATTTCATTTTCGAGGTACTTAATTTTTTATGCAGGTCTTCTTGAAAATAATTCACTTTACTATAGATAGAGTTGTAACATGTAATATTTTTACAATGAAAGTAAATAACACATTGAAGGATATTTTCAATAAGAGCAATTACGGAATCACTCAATGATAGATTTATTATATTGATGGAGTGCCTAATAGTATATCAAATACCGTATATGAGCTTTTTAGGGCTCATGCCTCAATAAGGTTGCCCATGCCTTTTTTAAGGAAATTTCTTGGCTGAGTGTCCAGCTGCATTCAGAAATGATCAAATTTTTTTTTTACTACATCTACCTTTCTATTCAGAATATATAAATAGACCTTTGCTGGGGGTTGCTATGACTGAACTGTGGACATTGAAAGCAGGCCTGATTTCAATGTCCAGGGTTAGTGCAGTCATTGTAATCATCAGTATTGTCCATATCACTGTCCGAGTCACTAGCGCTACTCTTGGAAAGTTCAATGTTTGCATTGTGCACATCTGCACTTGTATTAACGAGAACAGCCTGGGCTACTTCAAGGTAACTTTTCATCGTTTTCGGTTGAATGGCTTTCAAAAGTACTTTCACATGCCAATATTTTGTCTAGACTTGGTCTAAAGATAACATCAAAAGGTTTCATGGGAATTCTGCTATAGTCTGTTTCAAATTTTTCCCTGCTATATACATATCACCTATAGTCTGTTTCAAATTTTTTCCTGCTATATACATATCACCTATAGTCTGTTTCAAAAACTTCAGAATTTTACATCTTATTAAGGGCGCCCTCGCCTTCAATTACCAGCTCCCTGCTCTTATTAGGTCATATACGGTATGTTTAAAGTAACGATGGGCTGATAATCAGAAGTGATCCGAAATTAATTGATCTGGGAAATGAAAACAATTGATAGATGCCAAAATTGCGAAATCATATTTATTGGTAGAATTAGGAATGACACAAATATTTCAGAAATGCAGAGGTCAGATGTAATTTCCTATGCTAGTTAGATTATATAGAGCTAATTATAACTGGCAGCCTTGAAAGTCTTTTATCAGTGATGTTCAATAATACACAAATACCTGTATAGTGTCAGATTCAAAAGTTCTAATAAAGTTCTAATAAACATTGATTTCAAAAAGAGCTAAAACTATATTGTACAGTTACCACATGAAACAGACTGATTGATAATCTATAAATGATATGTATCCAGTTATGGAATATGAAACTGGAACAATTATAAAGTGGTCCATTTGATGCGACACTTTCATTTTATTAGCTCACCTGGCCCAAAGGGCCAAGTGAGGTTATGCCATACCGTGGCATCCGTCATCTGTCCGTCCGTCCTGCATCTGTCAACTTTTCAATTAAACAACTTCTTCTGAAATACCGAAAGGCGTAGAGTTCTCATATTTGGCTGGAAGGTTCCTTTGATGAAGCCCAACAAATGAAAAAAAGAAATGACCTTGACCCATATTCAATGTTGCAGATGTCAAATGTGTTAAAACCTTTAAATGACTTCCTCTCAAATACCAGAAGGCCTAGAATCATTATATTAGGCTACTATGTTCCTCTTATGGTGTCCTACAAAGTTTGCTAAAAGAAATTACCTTGACCAATCTTTATGGTCACTGGGGTCAAATGTGTTAAAACAATTTCTTCTGAAATATCGAAAGCCTAGAATCATTATATTTGGCCAGTATGTTCCTTTTATGAAGTCCAAGAAAGTTTGCAAAAAGAAATGAAGTTGACCGATAGTCATAAAGATCCAGGTGAGCTATACAGGCCTTCTGGGCCTCTTGTATTGAATTATAAGTTTAAAAAGCTCAGTTATTTGATACAACGTGAGTCTAATGAGCTAAGAGAGTCTCATATGAAATCATTGAATGAATTTGATGAATTAATCTTTATATGAAGTAGACATTGGTGTAGGATTTCATATATCACATTTGTTTAAAAGCAAACGAGTTAAAAATAATTCTGGTTGATATCGCTTTTGACTCAAAAAATATGTTTTTTAATTCTCCACACAATATTTATTTTCTGATCATAGAAAGTGACAGAACAGTTTTCTTAGGGGATAAAATTACTTCTGCAGCATTATATTTATTGGAGAACAATTTAAAACTGAAATATTGTGGTCATGTAGTACATTGTGTAATCTTATTATCAAAAACTAGTCAAGAAGAACCAAGGAAAAAGTGATATATATATGTGTGTGTATAGAATTAGTGAAATTATCATAATAGTCAAGTGTACTCTATTTATCCTGTGAAAAGTATTGGGAGAAAACATATTACCTCTGGCTCAAACTTTGGGTCGAGCCAGTTACAGGACAGTCCAGCACATTGCCTCTGACCCAAAGTCACGTGTGGGCTTATTAACAGAACAATACAACTTATTGCTTCTGATTCCAAGTCAGGGGTGGGCTTATTACAAGACAATCTAACACATTACTTTAGACTCAGAGTTGGGTATAGCCTATGACAGGACAGTCAAGCACATTGCCTACGACTCAAAGTCAGACTTATTAACATGACAATCCAACTTATTGCCTCCTATTTAAAGTCAGGGGTGGACTTATCAACATAACAATACAGCACATTAACATGACAATTCAGCACATTACCTCTGACTCAGAGTTCAAGGTTGGCGTATTACAATACAATCTAGCATATTGCCTTTGACTCAAAGTCAGGGATGGACTTATTACAAGTAATTGACATTGTATCATATTGGTATTTAATAGCAATACATATATATTTATAAGGACTGGTATATAACCAGGCAATAGTCTATTGCAGGATGTAATGAGGATGCTGAAACAATACATTTAAAAAACTATCAAATGATGAATTGTATCAGGATGCCTAGAATTATTTGTAAAAATTGAAGTTCATTTGTAGAAGTTGCATACCTTATTTAAATGTAAATATCTCTTGCCTTGAATTCAGTTTCGCATGTTTTGGTAATTATGTTGACATTGTTTGTGTGTGTGTGTATGTGTGTGCTTTTTACTTCTTCATTGCATGGAAGTTGCAGTAATGTTGCCATTTCTGATCGAAACCTTGTCTATTTGTCCCAAATTCTAGCTTCAAACTATGAGGTTGGTAACAAAGTATTTATGGAAGGTTCAAACACTTCACCAGAACTGCTTCGAGAACAGGAACAGCTTTTATTGGAAGCGGGGAAGCGTAAGATGTTGCAGCAAAATGCTGAAAAATATGGTGCTCAACAACAATTTTTTAAACCAGGAAATTCACAGACATATCCTAGAACTGAACAATTCAATCAAAACGATTGTAAAAATAAAGTAACTGTGGATATCCATGCTCCTCCTAAACAAGTGGGATTAACAAAACCTATATGTAGGCAAACAGAGCCAGCAGAGGATTTGCCGAAAGGCCAGGGACTGAATCCTGTGTATGAATATAACAAAAAAAATCAAGGTAGGTCATATGTAATACATGTATCTAATCATGCCCAAATTAATTTATTTTTCATGTTTTTTTTAACACTTTCTTATATTCTTTGTTTCTTCATTAGCATAAACATCAATACAAAGAAGATTCTCACTTTCATGTACATTTAAAATCAGTACAGGCTATATGGCTATCGGAGGAAATTTATAGATATAAATTCTATTTATTTTACATTAGTCACAATACAATTTATTTCAACTTATAATCTTCAAGAAAAATTCTTATGCTTTAACAGCTGTCAAAAAGATCTACTGTACACACAAACTTGTGTGTCTGAACAAACAAGACTCTATTTGCTCTCACAAACCTGAGTGTCTGGACAAAACACAGATATACTGTACAAACAAACCTGTGCTGTCTGGACAAAACACAGATATACTGTACAAACAAACCTGTGCTGTCTGGACAAAACACAGATATACTGTACAAACAAACCTGTGCTGTCTGGACAAAACAAGGTTCTTCTGTACACACACACCTGTGCTGTCTGGACAAAACAAGGTTCTACTGTACACATATACCTGAGTGTCTAGACAGACAAGGTTCTTCTGTTCATACAGACCTTTATGTCTGGACAAACGAGGCTCTACTGTACACACAAGCCTTAGTGTTTGGATGGCCAAGGTTCTATGGAACAATTAACTTCATAGTCTGACCAAAAACAGCACTTGAGTGGCATGGTGTGTTGATAACTAGAGTTTTGTGTGATTTCTGATCTGCATGATGTATCTAGAATTTGCTGGCATCTGGTAAATCATCTGTAAAGTACTCTTAGAATGGTCCACTGATGTAGAATTTGTTTTCCTGGATGAGACCTTGCTCTTTTAATATGAGAATTAAACTACTTACTGGAATTATATTATACTGAATTAGGGTCTTGTAAATAATAATAATGGTTTCTTTTGGATGTATGCCTTGATAAAGGGGCAGATTGCTTCAAAACTTAACAAAATTTTGCCCTCATAGCCCTTATTACTTGAGCTTAGCAGATGTGTGTCTCTCAGGACCTGGATACAGGATTTTAGGTTACCTAGTACAATGTTGGTGCTGATCATAACTTCTTTTTGGGAACCTGACATTGCTGTCTTCATAGAAAAATATTTTTATGGAATTGTTTGTTTGCTTGTTATCAGCTGATTTCTGTACCAAGTATTGCATTGCTTTTTCTGTGGACATTCAAAACTAACAGTGCAGCCAATTCTTTAATGAAGATAACTAACATTTTCTTGATTCCTCAGACTTAATGTTACCAACGAAAATATGTGGCCAAATCGGTCAGTTTTCTTCACAAAATAAGACCAAATGTCACCATTCCAAATTAATGACAAAAAAGAACTTAAAAGTTTTTCCAAGAAATTCTAGTTGATAGATTGATAATATTGACCCTTAATTCAATAAATTATGTTTAAAACACCTAGTTATTGATTTCATTTTATAACACAGAAATAGTTGATAGTCAATATCAAATTGTACACCATCAAACCTTTACAACTAGGAATACAAAGTAGGTTTTGAGAGTATGTTGATGTGACCTATCTTCAGTATCATGTTCTTGTTTCATTCATAATTTTTAAATTTTCCTCTGTTTGTTTTATTCATAATTTTACGACAGTTATGAAGTTCCAGTAAATCTAACTAAACTTTGAACAACTGGTGCCTTCTGATGTTGTGTATTTTATTATCCAGAACATATTGGACGGTACCAGCAGTACTGTTGTAGTGCAGTTAGCTGGTTATAAACTTAGTTTATGACATTGCGTCCTTGGGAATCCCAGTAAAATGCTTCCCTTTAACTGAAAGAACTGGAAAACCAGTGATAACATTGTACAAACTCATCACAGACTGCAGCAAACAATTTCTGTTACTGTGTAAGATAAGCGTTATACTGTATTATATAGGAATGAGAGAACAAGGTGGGTCACTGTACATACTGATGTGATGATTGTACTAAGTAATTACTAATGTATTTATCCTGAAATAAGCCCAAGGGCTAACTTGATCTCAACTCAAATACAGGAGGTGGGTTTATTACCAGGTGATATATCCTGGTATTTCTGTGGAATGTGATATGATGCAATTTTTGAAGATTTGTGATTATTAAATACCGGACATGGCTTTATTTGGTAAGATATATATATATATATACATAAATGCTGTAAATACCAGACATGGTTTTATTGGCATAAAAATTTGGCAAGATACATACATATCCATACCGTAAATCCTGTTTGTTTTCATCAGATTACTTCAAAGTGATTAATAATTCTTATGATTTAACTTACTTATGCAGACAGAATTTACCTAGTATTAACAGATATCCCATAAAAGTAAGTACGGGAAGTCCTATTCTATGCTGCTGTTAAAGCTTTCATTGTGTTATTGTACTCTTGGTCAACTGGAAATGACTATTGACAATACAAACTCTATCATTATCGATAGTTTATCAGTGACTTAATTGAAAGAGTTAGAAAATCAGTTGGTACGGATGTATCTTTGTATTCAGCTTCAAATGTTACCTCTTATCATTTAGAACATAAATACATATGTCTGGAGATACGTGGCCCGACGCTCCCTTCCTGTGGAAGTTTGTATTTCTTAGGAAGCTCAGAAACATATCTGTCTCTGCTTTTTATTGTTGTATCTTTAGGCAAGACAGTTTACCTTAATTTCTCTGGAAGGTCTGTGCCTGGCCTCCTGTATCTTGTTCAGTGAAGGTAGACACCAGGGTCTTCAAATAGACCCCCCGCCTCCAAATAACCCTACATTTAACATGGCGATAACCCCAACTAACAAGAAAATGAGCATCCTTGCATTTTGCATCACTGACTTACTGAAATTGATATAATGTTGATCTCATATGTTTTGTTCATACCTATAAATACTGATTTCTTATTCAGAATTTTTGCCGTCTGAACCAGTCAAACGTGAATCTCTAGAACAACCAGGGAGTGGGGGCAGGAAAAGGGGACAAGAGTCCATCGTCCCTAATGCTGACCCTGACCTCGAAGTAGGGTCGTTGGTGGAGGTCATGAATAATCCTCCATTGTATGGGGTCATCAAATGGACTGGCTTTCTTCCTGATCAGAAGAAACCTCTTAAAAAAATTGCTGGACTGGAAATGGTAAGTTTTTCTGATGACTTTGTGTAACCAAGGGATGATGTCATTAAAAAATCACTGAATTGAAATAATATTTCAGATGAAGTTTAGATATTGCATTATTCAATCTTTGTTAAGTTTGTCTATCTGCCACACTTTCCTTATGGTAAAGACAAATTACACAGGATAAGGTCGGGTCAACACTTTCTTTTGCATAAAATCATCACAGTATTGTGGATGGAAATATATTCCAACCCGCTAGAGAATATACATCTTTTTAATTTTCAATGGTTACTTTGAAAATATTACTTGCGGTAATGGTTAAAATTATTTTCTACATCACATGGATGTAAACGATTCCTGAATTTCTTTAATTTCTCTTTTGTTATAATTTCCAGGAAGAAGAAATATCTGCAGGAACGGACGGTACATTTGGTCAGTATCGTATGTTTACCTGTGCGCCTAGGAAAGCTTTCTTTGTTCCATTGTACAAGTGTAGAAAGGACAAGCGTTTTGTGGAAAGCAAGATGTCATTAGAAGATGCATTGGGTAAAAATAACTTTGGAGCAATGGAAACTCCAGATGTTCCAGGAAATATATCTCCGCCTGATTCCTTGGATTTATTGGATATCCGGCGTAAAGTTTGTGGTAAAGAAAAGGGCATTCAAGGTCATCATAACTCTTGTTACTTAGACGCTACATTGTTGGCAATGTTCTACTTCACGACAGTGTTTGACGGTATTTTGTATAGGCCTAAACGCAGTGATGACCTTCAGGAATATGAAGAGGTTAAGCAAGTTATTAAGGAAGGCATTGTGAACCCACTTAGAAGGTAAGACAACTTTATGTACAAACAAACATTATGTAAACAGAACGCCCTTTGAGTTTGTGATAATATAATAGGTTTTTCTTTCAGCGATTCCATTACCAATTTTTAGCAGGAATTACCCTGAATCTAATCCCTTATATATGCATATGTGTATGTAAATATAAGTTCTTATTGTACAATCAGTAAGATATTATCTGTGATGTTCTGATAACATACCATATTTATCCAGCAATAAGGCCATGTCTGGTAATAAGCCCACCCATGTCTATTGTTGTTCAACAGAATGACAAACCTTTTTAGTTGTTCTGCAGTAAGCCCATCTCATGACTCCTTGGGCTTTTGAAAGATAAATACAGTATTCTGTTCAATTTATCAGATAAATAAGTAGTAAACTATTTATAGTGATATTCAACAGAATTAAAACTATTGAAAAAGTCTCAGTTTTCAGATGGGGGAGATTTCAGTTTTACTTTACTTTCATTGTTTAGCTCTGTAAATCTGTCTCATTCTTGTGAAGATAACACCTTTTTGAAGAGTTAGTTTTGTACCAACAAATTTACTTCCATACTCAGTGAATGTTCTAAACACCATTCAAAGGTACTAACATCACTAAATCGTTACTTATATTGCCCAGTTAAATTTTGATTGTTTCCTTGTAAAATCAGCTCTCTATATCAATAGTTAGTCCATGTTTCCTCTGACCTTTACATCTGATGTTAGACATTTTGACAGACAGATGTCCAATGTTTGAAGCAATAATTACTTCTGTATGAAAATGTGGAATTCCCCAATGCCATTTGATGACATCATTGAATATTGAGTTATCAAACTTTGACATGGTGCCTACCTTACATATATCAATCAGTGAGATCATTTTTATCCAAAACCTTTCCCAAATTACTGTTCTCTCCAGTACAAGGCATGATTTTATGTTATTCTAAATGTCCCGTGTGAACTGAGGCCATTTTGCAAAATCAGAGTGTACTTAACAAATTGCAATGGAATGAACAGGACTAGCTTCACTTATATTGTCAGTTTTCTATCTAAGATGGAGACTGCTTGGAGGAGTTGTCAGTTTTCTATCTAAGATGGAGACTGCTTGGATGAGTTGTCAGTTTTCTGTCTAAGATGGAGACTGTTTGGATGAGTTGTCTATCTAAGATGGAGACTGTTTGGATGAGTTGTCAGTTTTCTATCTAAGATGGAGACTGCTTGGATGAGATGTCAGTTTTCTGTCTAAGATGGAGACTGCTTGAATGAGTTGTCAGCTTTCTATCTAAGATGGAGACTGCTTGGATGAGTTGCCAGCTTTCTGTCTAAGATGGAGACTGCTTGGATGAGTTGCCAGCTTTCTGTCTAAGATGGAGACTGCTTGGATGAGTTGCCAGCTTTCTATCTAAGATGAAGACTGTTTGGATGAGTTGTCAAGCCCCGTTAGAGGTTATTTGACTACAAGTTTAATGTCTACTTTTGAAATTGATGTTCAGCAGACATGAATAACCTGTATCTGTAAGACTTACGAGCTATTATTTGGTCAGATGCCAGAGTTGGATCAGGTCTGGAACAAAACAGGTCACATTCTATTTAAAGGGTCCCTTTGATAGACTCATGCATGTGTCATCGGGGCTATATTCTGAAACAACACTTCAAAGAAATTTGAGTGTTATGGGTAAATATTAGGGTTGTAGCAAAGTTATTTTGGTTTTTTTTTGGAAATGCACAATGCATGTATACTGTGTCAGTATATACAATAGATGATATGTTATAAAATGAAGTTTCTGTCTTGTTTATTCTGACTTCTTTCTGAAGTGTTCTTTTATAACATTGATTGACTTTAAACTACAAATTCTGGAAGGTCAGTGTGAATATCGTCACTGAATTTCATTTTTCTAATTGTAATTTTCTCAGTTTTATCAAAACCTTTGAGTCAAGGTATTTATTTTCCACAGATTTCCTGTACAGTGTGTCTCCTGATTCTGATTTCATCATGAAGGCGTTTAGTTTCACAGGTTAAATCTATTCATGATATCAGCAAATTATGGAACCCCTTGAAAAAACTACTTTCCTTCTAACTGAGCTGTATCTGGCAATATTATAAGCTCATGTCTTTGACTTTAAAGGAAATGTGATTGTTAGAATAAGATTGGAAGAAACCTTCTGATCTGATATATTTGTCAATAAGGCAGTATGTTGTAGCTTCACAGCCTACAAACGGAATATAATCGTAAGAATAGGAAGGAATCTTCTAACCAAAAACCAAACTATATCTAACAACAAACTCATGCCTTGTTACTTTACAAGAAATGCCAGATTTATGACAAGGCCAATGGCCTGTTATATTTTGCAGTAACCCCACACCTTCTCACAAAGCTCACACTTTTTCAACAGAAATATATATATATTCTTGTGTCATTTCATTTTCCTGTAATAAAACCTCCCATGACAACAACACAGAGATGTAACATATTTTCCTGTTCCTGGACGTATTACAGGATAAATATGGTATGTCCATATTTGTCAATTTGCCAGGAAATTTGGCAAAGGAAATGTTCAGGCAGTTTTGGCAGGTGGTCTTTATTACTAGTAATTAATGTTATTCAGGCCAACGTTCACTCACTTCCACCTGATCAAGGTAGAGCTGTGATCAATATGATGACGTGTGCTTTCTATTCTGTGCTGGAAAAGTCTGACATACCAATATTTAGTACAGGCAATAAAACCGAGGGGGCCGACACATTGCCTCAGAGTCATGGGATGGGGTCATTACGAGACAATGAAATGGCATTTGTTTGTAATCGTTTTTATCAGCAATAGAAATATGAGTGGGCTTATTAACTGGCACAGACTTATTGCTACAAAAAGACAGTTTATGATTCTGATGTCAGGAATTCTCACTGTGAAACTTTAACTTGGCATTCATGTGAGAAAGTCTTTTTCTTTGCTCAACCGCTAGTGAAAATCAGTATATTTCTAGATACGAAGTCTAGTGGAAATCAGTATATTTCTAGATATGAAGTCTAGTGGAAATCAGTATATTTCTAGATACGAAGTCTAGTGGAAATCAGTATATTTCTAGATATGAAGTCTAGTGGAAATCAGTATATTTCTAGATATGAAGTCTAGTGGAAATCAGTATATTTCTAGATACGAAGTCAAAATAAATAAATAAAAAAAAAAAAAACAGGGTCCTTATCAAAATACAAAAGAATACAAAACAAGAATTCAATGAAACTGAGTAAGATTTGAACAGATTTTGAGTTGTTTCTATAAACAAGATTTGGTCAAGCTTTAGGACAACTGGACAAAGGTCATCAATGATAAATCTATGTATAAGTGCAGAATCCTGTACTCATAGAAATTTGATGGGACTTATAAAATTTCTGGAAATACTTCAATTTTTCGTCGTGGTAAATGGATCTCTGAGTCATGATCCTCCAGAGAGGAATGGTAGATGTTTTACTTTTGACTTGCCACAGGCTGTGATGCTAAAATAACAAATGTTTAATGTTATTTCCTAATTCGAAAATGTAAACTGGTGTATATTAAGCTTCTCTATATAAATCTGCTCTTTTTTCAGTTAAATAGTTTTTAAAGGTTAAGATGAATGAATGATGTATGTTCTCTATCTGAATCTAAACCAGTATAAAGTAAAAGTTGGATTGTGTGCCAATAAACCCTGTTTTTATCTCTACTCTGATAAAATATTAATTATACTCTGATAGCATTGACGAACTTTAGAGTTCCATTTTCATCCTGCCAAGAGGACGGACACTTCATCTTTGACACAAGTATGGGAGGGCTTATTGTAAGGACAATGAAAAAGCATGGTTAAAAGATTTGAAAAGATGAGAAAAAAATGACTGGGGTTTCTACAGGGCTAACAATTCGATGTGAGAAAAGTAGTTGTGGTCTTATTATCGGACATGGGCTTATTGTTGGATAAATACAGTATTTATTTAGCTTGTCACTGTGCCAGGTTTTGTACACGTAACTGGGTATACCAGTATATAGGGAATTCCCCAGTTTCACTTACTATTTTTGTATCCTGTTCATGTTCCCGTGTATATACACTGTTCTAACACTACACACTACATGTAGTAGACAACACTCTATCAGGTCATCGGATTTGTTGCTGTACAAATCATTTGTTCATGTATTCTTTGCATGTATTAAACATGTACGGTATTGCTAGCTGTAAGGTAAAAAAGATAAGCTGATTGGATGTATTTACATGTACATACATATACCTAAAACTTTGATACATATGACAATTTATTGATCATTGTCGTCAAATTTCTACCTGGAAAAAATCTTGAACTGTATTTGATTCAATTTTACTCAGAGAAAACAGCAAATTAGTCCTGTTATGTTCACAGAAACAGTTAAAATAGTCAGTTTTTGAACTGAAGGAATCACAACTTGGTATATACGTTTGATTTTTTAATTAGATTCACCTTATCTTCTGATTGTGATCGTGTAAATAAAGATGTCAGGTATCCACTTGTCGATGAATTTGTCGTCTGACAACGTTAACCATTCTTTCTCTTCTCATGATATTGCATTGAAATTACATGTGTTAGGGTCACGCTCATTGTGGTTTCCTAATTATCAATGGATCAGACCACATCAAATGTTTCGTCGCAGTGACCAGTCAGATAATTTTTCTGTAGATTTTTTTTTTTTAAATCTGATCTCCAAAAAGTACCTGCGCACTATACGCGAGTGCGCACTATACGCGAATATTTACGGTAGCATCGTCAAAAATCTCAACAGGACAGTGATATAAGGAAATAGATATGTATATGTTGGTCTAATTTTATTGCATCCCCAAATATTTCTTAGGCCAATGATATGTCAAAAGGTTGTTGTGATGCTTAGAAAACATTCCTAAAACTATTTCAAAAACATTTAAAAGATTTTCAGTTCACTTGCTGTTTTGTTTTATGACATATTGAAAACTAATTACCGAGAAAAATCATACTTCTCTTTGAGATCCAGACATGAAAGCCTTGGCTTTTCTGATAAAAATTGTTTTCTTGCACCGTACATCAATTTTGGTAATAGTGCATATACCAAATAAACAGACTTGTTGTGTATACACACCTTTCATAATTACAAGAGTTTTTAATTTACCATACTTGAATTGTCAGTCACATAATACCTTTAAACTGTGCTGTTAATGCCATTATTTTTTTGTGGTTAAAATTTTTGTGCTTTTATCAAAAAAGTGTCATTTTCTTGAAAATTTTGTATACTGTGAACTACAATTCTTCATGGTTGTCACAATGAATTTCCTTATCAAGTTATCATTGTCTTAATTTTATTCCAGCCTCAAAAATAGCTTAAAAAGAATCGTTCGAATATGACACTCTTTACAGTAATTGGCAGTTGTTTAGATATTGTTTGGCTTGTATTATTTTGCAGATACCATTATGTACGAGCAGACAAAGTGATGCGGTTACGACAACTGCTACATAAATTAGGAAATATACCAGGAATGATGAGTGAAGAGAAAGGTAATGGTTAACACCACAGGGGCTTTCACAGGCTCCAGTAAATATTGATATTAGGGTATAGAGTTGAAAGCTATTAATGTCGAGAGTGATGAAAAGCCTTTTTCCAACAGTGTTGTATCTTTGCTTATTTTTAATATTGTTAATTATAAGTAGATATCTACCTTTTAAACACTAATCATGTAAAATCAAATATTTTAGTGATACTCAAATATCCTTGTTTTCCAAAATTATATCTTTTTAAAAAATTGGCTGTTGATTTTGGAATGAAATCTTGCTTATGAAATCTGCTAGTACTGTAATCCATGTCAGATTTTTTTAACCATTCATTATCTACCTAACGTCTAAATTCATGGTTCAGAGTAACCACAAATCCAACGAAAATAAATCCCCCACGAAAATTAATAATGTTACAGTATCAAAGATAGATTTAACAGACTAATACCAGAGCTATTTCATATATATAAGAAATCTTCATAAAATTCAAGAAAATGTAAACCTTCAACATACATGTTTTAATTAAATGTTTTTACTTTAAATAGATCCGGAAGAGTTTATGGGTTTGTTATTGAATCAGATTACCAAGGCAGACCCTCTACTACATATAAGGTCAGTACACATTGAAAATTTAATTTTTGTGCGAGTTACTCATTTCTCTCATATCTGATTCAATTTTTGACTTGGTTAATGTTGTGTCCCAAAATAGACATCTTTAAACTTTGTTTGTCACAAAAAGATGGTAAACTTCATTTGCATTGATAAATTTATCACAAATTATTGTTTAAGAAAATTATTCGTCCTGAACTGAACTGATGTGACCTTGACCTGCTCTATTTAATGTAACTATTACTTACTCACTGTATGATGTGACCTTGATGTTCTCTCTCAAATGTGACCATGACCTACTCTCTTCAATGTGACCTTAACCTACTGACTTTGATGTGACCTTCACCTGTCTTTCTCTGACAGGTCAGAGGGAGGCCAAGAAGTTCAGCACTCGTTCCTTTACCAGCTAATTATGGAGAAAGATGAACGCCTTGTGCTGCCAACAACACAGCAGCTGTTTGAATTGTCCTTCTTACAAATGGGTGTCAAATTACAAGAGGTGCATTTTTTTTATATTTTCTCCTTCAGTTCCTCAATTCAAGAGAAGTCTGAATATATTAGATGTTATATAATGCACAAGAGTTCTGAATGAAAGAAACTTCACTTAACCTTCTAAGTATCTTGAATTAATGGATAGTTTGTGAAAAATGTCAGTGTTTAAGACTGACTTGTGTCAATTTTTTATTGTGTTTTTAAGTTCTAAATTGTTTTTTGTTTTGCACTTCCATATTACCATAAATTTTGTCTTGTCTGGGATTTCAAACCAAAATATGTGTTTTGTCTGGGATTTTAAACTAAAATATGTGTCTTTTGTAGCGGCCATCATGTCTGATCATACAGATGCCGAGGTTTGGTAAAGATTATAAGATGTACAACAGGATTGTTCCCAGTCTAGAGCTTGATATCTCGGATGTCCTGGATTGTGGTGAGTGCACAGTCGTCACTTTTCAGAAACTGGTCCAAACTGATTGCTTTTTTGTAATACATATATCAGTATGTCATCCTTATTTTCCTATCAATTGTCAATTCCTGTTCAAGATGTCTGAAAAGTCTAACAGAAGTTCCTAAAGAAAAATCCTTAATGTATAACAAATTTCGGAACTCGAGGGAAAATTTTCCTAAAGTTTTTTCTTGAGTACAATTAGAGTGTCTTATGGAAAAACTCAGCTGAAGATGCTGTAGTGTGCGATGACTTTCGTGATACTGACATGGAATAAATGTCATTATTGTATAATACACATGTATATACATTTATATAGAATTAATTGAAGTAAAAACAGTGCCATGATCCTGATGTATAAGATAATTTTGAAAGATGAAATTTTTCTCCACATCAACAACAACAGGAAAGAAATGTTGACATGTAAATTGAGTCTTGATTTAAGTCATTAGAATATTAATTTAAATTCACAATCAATGAATCTGGGCAAAAATGTGAGCAAAAGAAAAAAAACTATGTAAAAGTTCCAGAAAAAGCAAAAGACCAGGTGTTCTAAAAGAGTAAACATCTTGTGCTTCATTTCCACACTGCTATGAAAATCCTGGTCACAACTAACATGCATTAAAGACGGCAAAATTAATGAATTATGTGTTATGAGATAATGCTACAAAAACACTAGTAACTGCCGGCTTTCCTGTGTAAATATGCTATGTATTCATGGCATGGTATCAGAATGTATGGTAACTAGTATATAGAATTTTGGAGATGGTGTTTTTGTGTTACAGCCCCACGGGAGTGTATAATCTGTGGTGATCTGGCCATGTTTGAATGCAAGGACTGCTACAACACACATGGAGCTGGCCTGAATACGATTGCCTTTTGTGAAGGCTGTAAACAAATGGTTAGTGCAAATATTTGGGTTTGAAATGATCATATTTAATGTGCAGGAAGCCCAATTGCCAACATATTTGCAAAAGGCATTAAAGTTACATTTACTCAGAGCGTATTTCCAGGCATGAGCTGTCTTGATAATAGTGAGTTTCTGTTTTATCTTAAAGAAGATGAACTTGTATATTGTACAGTGAATTTGTCTTTCACATAAAGGAAAACAGGCTGAACCAGAAAAGATTCATTATCTAATATGTTCATTATACATAGGATCCTGTAGGAATTTCAATTTGATTTGAGATTTATGGAACAAGGTCTAGACTTTTTGCTTGCTATTGTGCTTCGTCTGTCATCATGCACCGTTTGCCATTTGTAAACTTTTCCTTTGAAACACTACTCCTGCTTAATGCCTGGGCAGTTTTCAACCACATTTGGTCTGAAATATCATTTGGGGTGAGGGATCATTTCTTAAATTCAGAAATTTGATTCAGCCCCTAGGGACCTGGGGATGGGGCCTCAAAATGGTAGTTAGCCAATACTTCACTTCAAAACATTACCCTTTATTAATGCTTTGAGAGTGGGGAATCATTTCAATTCAGAAAGTTGATTCAACCACTAGTGACTTGGGGATGACACCCCAAAAGGAAAGTTAGACAATATTTTACTTCACATCACTACTCTTCTTTAAGGCTTCAATGGATTTAAACCAAATGTGGTACAAAGTGTCATTGTAGATGGAGAATTCATCAGATTTGTCAGACCACCATCAGTAAAATTCTGAGGTTTGTCAATCCATTCGTTGATTGTCAGATGACCGATTAGGGCCATGGCCCTGTTGTTGATTTAAGCCAGCTTTTTGCAAACTAGGATGGAAAATTTGTGACAAGTTTCATAAGTTACATTTCAAATGGAAACAAAATCCCAATCTTATTTTGTTATCACATTGTGAACTATTCAGGCAAATATTGTAGAAAACATACATTATTACATCACAATGCAAACTATGAGTGTCATGATGGTACAATTATGATAATGTAAATCTTAAAAAAAACGGAATCAACTGGTTGGAAACTTCAAATTTTGCATTATACAAAGGAAACATTTTAAGTTCTATAATTTTGGTAAAAATTTTCAAATTTTTCTTTCAGAGTCATATGCATAAATTACGACAACATCACAAGCCTCGGCAAATCTCTGTTCCACAAGAATATCGTGAGAGACACCAACACCAGAAAAATGTTACAGGACAAAACCCTTCAATACCTCGAGAGAAAATGGAACTTTTTGCAGTAGTTTGTATACAAACAAGTCATTATGTGTCTTTTGTGAAGTGTGGCAAGGGCAAAAGTGCCCCATGGCTCTTCTTTGACTCCATGGCAGATAGAATGGGTGAGTGGTCGTATTGTACCGTTACTTGAGGATTAAAATTGAGACATACACATAATATTATCCAATAAGTTTGAGCCTTTAAAATCTTTTAATAGAATGTTATCTTATGAAAAGAAAAGCACAGCTTTGAGTTAAGAAATTTATGGGCATGAACCTCTATTGTAAAAGTTTTGGTTGATATTCAAGAACATCGTCTCTTAAGACATTTCATTTTCACGAGGGATTTATTTTCATGGAAGTTGTAGGTTACTTACTCTAAATCCTTGAATTTATGTGCCAGTAAAATGATAAATAAATGTTTATATTGTTGATATTGTGAGTCTGATTCATCCACAGAATCACATGCTTTCTGAAATGTATATTTTTGGAAAACCACAAAATTTAAGTCCCATGAAAAAGATGCAATTTTACAGTATTCAGTTTTGAGCCAGTCAGTCTTTTTTTAAGATATTTAAAATGACATGAAATTTAAAAGAATAGGTTTCATTGAACAAAAACTTAGTTGTAAAGAGAAAGTATTGTAGAAAAAATCCAGAGTAATTGAAAATACCTGTATGGTCAAGAAACTCATAGCTTTTCACATTGGAATGGAGTGTGAAGCCCTGGTCACTACGCTCACTAACAATGATGTCTTTGGTCGTAGAGGATTGTAACAGTTTTGTTTTGTGTTTCAGGCGAGCAAAGTGGTTATAATATACCAGAAGTAAAATTGTGTCAGGACTTGTCACAGTGGTTGTCGGATGATTACCAGTCAGAGATAATGCGACAAGACGATAAGGACCTCCCAGAACACATGCGCAGACTCTTGTGTGATGCCTATATGTGCATGTACCAAAATCCTGAAGTATCTATGTTCAAGTAAACAAAGAGTTTTTGAAATTATTTACTCAACTGGCCCGAGATACTATGGCGTCCGACCTCCGTCGTCATTTGTCAGTGAACTTCTACCAAATGCTGCCAATCATGAACAACTGAGGTGATTTTGACCAAATTTGGTCAGAAGAATCCTGAAGGAAGGACACATATGTAGTAAAAAAGGGGTCAGAGGGGTGTAGCCAAATAGGTTGGATTTTGTCCAAACTTTGTAAAACGATGGGTCTCCAACCCAAAGGTAGGACTTGGCCTCCTAGGGCAGGAGGGATGGGGCTCAAGAGGGGAATTGGGTTCTATCATGGCGCATCTCTAGGCACATAATTTCTGGGTCATATCTTTGAAACAGTTGAGATCCCCACCCCATTACCATATATAACTTTCCTGGGCATAAATAGTTTAACACAATTTTGATGTAAGAATTTGCTCTGGGGTCTTGACCCACCCACAGGGACTAAGGTTCCTTGTTATGTCTTTGAAGCAGTTTAGATCGCAAATCCATAACCATATATAGCAATGTTGGACATCAAGAGATAAGAACTTGGCTGTGGGTCCCTCTCTTTGGACTTAATTTTTGGGTTATACCTTTGAAACAGTTGAAATTCCAACCCAATATCCATATATACAATTGCTTGGCATCAAGAGTTAAACACATTTGTCATGGTAAGAATTCACCTGTGGGTATGGTGCATCTCTAGGCGCATAATTTCTGGGTCATATTTTTGAAACAGTTGAGATCTCAAGCCTATGACCATATAAACTATTAATGGGCATCAACAGAGAAAGACAGTCATGATAAAGGAATTCATTCATTGGTCTATCAAAGAGGTCAAGTGACTGAGCTGTAATTTGAAAGTATTTGAAATGCCCAACCTACAGGCATGTGTACCATTGCTGGGCTTTAGCATCCAGGTGAGCGATACCGGTCCTATTGGCCACTTGTTTCATGTTTGAACTTCTCATGATATCTGTTAGAAATATATGAATTTATTATTGATGTAAGCAGTGTTTGAAGGCCGTCATTGTCACATCATCTTTATGAGTTTCTGGAACACCAATAAATTTATCACAGAGTTGAGTTAGAATTTACTATGACCCAATATATCTTCTATGACCCAACATTTAGAATTTACTATAACCTAACAGTTAGTGTAGTTATATATATTATCAGCTCTACACTTGAGAAACTATTTATTACGGATTTTTCTATGTAAGGAAACTTCTATATATCACAGAGTCTGATTTTAAAAGATATCATATAACCGGTTTTTGTATATACTTGCTCTCCAGCCTTTCGTTTCAATCTAGGACAACCTGAACATTTTCATTTTGTAATCCAAAGAACTATTTACTCAGCCAGAAGAGGCATAACGTTTTATATTCAGAGAGTCATTTGTGTTTATTTAAATTTGATTGATATGTTAAACAAAAGATTGTTAATACTTACTAGATCATTTAAACCACTAATGAAAGATGTTTTTCAACGTAACATGAATGTTTTTTATGCTGGTGTCTAATTCTGGAAAGAAGCAAACATTCAGATATGTAAAACAACCTAACCTTGTCATGACAAAATTGTCACAGAATGGTTGATGAAACTTTTGGTTCAATCATTGATGATAATTACTAGACGTGAATAAACAATTTTTGATATTCTCTTTTCAAACTAGAGCTAGCTTTCCAAATGCTTTAGAATGTAGCCATGAAAATTTCTGATCCAGTTGTGAGGTTGTATGTTGGTTGGTTAGAGGTTTTCCATTTCTTTGACTCGTCCTATTTGTCCATATACTATCTATATGTACAAAGATTATTTCATTAGATTTTACCTGTACTCCGGACTTACTGGGTGTACCTGTGGACTACAAGAGGTAGGTATAAGTCCAATTCCATGATACGCCAGGATGAAAGACAGCATCTTCTTTTATATATAGGAACTTTTTATTAGCGAAGAGAAAATTATGAAATATTGCCACAAATAATATTAGATGCATAGTAACGTAAAATAAGTTAATAACGTGAGCATTAAAGGGGATTTATCTGCCCTTAGTTTTTGTCCATCAGTAGGGAACCCTACACAGCGTATTTTAGGGGTGAGAAAACCGTTCAAAATTGTTCTGATGAAGCCTCGACTGAGGAGGCAAAACTAGTCAGCAATAAAGGTAAGCATGATACTTTACTGGTGATGCATGAACTTTTTGCGATTGACTCTTCATATATTTTATTTAGAATATTTCATATAATATAAAACAATGTTTGAAAAGGAAGCAAAAAGATGTAATCAAAGTCGTATTGTAGACAATACTAACAGCAAAGCAAGGGATGGGATGAAAAAACGTCAAGTTCAGGGAAAATTATTCAATATCTTGTTTTAAAGTAAAAGTTATGTCAGTTATTTGTTGGGCCAAACCATCCTCTCAACTTTTGATGTACGCGTGAAGGATTGTGGGTTGTAATTTTAGAATTGTGAAACGTTGCTTATGCTGTGTATAGAGACTGCTACTCTTTGTAGCTCTTTGTCCTATTTGGACTGTTCAAATCAAGACATATATACCATTTATATTCATGCTGCTTTTCAGCAACTTTACACACTGAAGATTTTTATTGTGTGAGAATGATGTCAGTTTAAATGTATGATGTATGCTCAAAGTTCTTGTGTTGAAAGTAAATAGCATAACACTGAACTGATAGAAATTCATTCAGAAAACCTCAGGACATACAGAGATATACATATAGTGTTAAACTTGGTGTATTTATGACATAATAGAGAAAAGAATACAAGATAAATGTTTTAATTTTTGTTAATCCTCGAGTGATTGTTTTATCTAACATTTTGGTTAATGTTATGACATAAGATAATGTTGAATTTATTTTTCAATGTAGATGTAAGGATATTAAATTTGTACCTAGATAATGTGTAATTAGATGAAAACTTTTATTTTCATGTATATTTATCAAAAACCTCCTAAGAATATTTAACAAAACAATATTAATAAATACAAACAATGACATAATTGTTATTATGAGATAGTACAAAAGATACGAATGTGAATAACACCTTTTAATTCAAGATTTAGATGTGTTAGAACCAAATCTTATCATAGAGCTGTCCTTCTAGGACTCGTTGGAGTCAAGGTGACTGAGAAAATTCAAAATGACCTAAGAAAAGTCAATATTTAGCCCCATGAAACAGTAAATTTTATAATTTTCATATTTCTGATAAATTTAGAATAATGTCATGTACATTTGTATATTCTCAACAATGCAACTATTCAAATGAATGCAAACATGGTGTGCGGGTTACAATATCTGAAACTTTAATAAATGTCATATCATTTCTGAGTGACAGAAAACTTCGACAAATCATGTGAATTACTTTTACTTCCGTTTATATTTGTAGCATCCCTATCTAACTGAGAAATGTTTTGAGATATCAAAATTTTCAGTTTTTCCTCCAAGCTTATCTAATGTATTATTTTGTTATGTGTTATATGTTGTATTATGTAAATCATTCATTTTTATGGTGGTTTTATTTTCAGTAACATTGTGGGTACACATAATTTATCGATTCATACATCCGTGAACTGTTAAATTCACAATTTTCAAGTTTATTTATTGAGCTATATTTATCCACAAAATCAAGTGTCCATAAAAACGATTCTTTGGATAAACCACGAAAATTGAATCCCACAAAAATAGATGATTTTACAGTATTTGTTGATTATTATATTTTTATATAGGTACATGTATTATTAATTTTTTCCTGCTCCTTTAGATGAACTTCAATGATTATGTAAACAAAAACAAAAACAAAAAAAAACTGTCAACCAGTTGGTTTAATGTCAAAGCATATTTCAAAAGTTTTGTTGAGTTGTTTTTACTTTTGTTTGACACCCTGACTATTTTTAAAGTATATTGCTACTATAGCTGCCTCCATGCGATTTTTGTACATTTACCTGTTTAAAAGGGCAACATGGTGAAAACGATTTTTTTTGTCTTAATGTTGTCCTTGACACACTTTTCATTTAAAATAGGTTTTTTTAAAATAAAAAGTTGAATGTTAACAGAAAGTTTTGTTATTTATTTTGCATGACCTTAAATGAAAATCACTTTAAATGCACTTTGAATACTTTACCAAATTTTTTCTCAACAATTGGTTCAAAAGAGTCTTTATTACAGAGCCATTAACTTTGTTTGTTTGCTTGCTCGCTTGATCTTTCTGGCAACAGCCAAGGTTATTTTGCAGATTCCTTGTAGTACCTGTGACTAACTCTACATACTATCCCAACCAAATGAGAGTAACATGTTTGTTTTTCTCTGTTTATCATCTTGGGGAAAAGCCAGGGTCATGCGAGGCAGTTTCCTTTTCGTTGCCTCCATACTATTTCAAACAATTTGTTAAATACTTACAAAAAGGACACAACTTTGATAGCTTTAGATGATCTGTGATCTATGTAATTTTTTTCATTCTTTATCCTCATTGAATAACATACAAATATGTGTACATTCAATTTCATTCATTTGACCGTCGGCAGAGAAAACTTATGTTTATTTGAAATATTACAAACAATTTAACTCATCAAACATCATCCATTGTTTTTAAATACCCGACAAAAATTTGATGGGATGTACAGTAAATGTATCGTAGTATGGCAGTGTTTGTCTGTTGTAACCTTTCATTTGTGTGGAGATTTCCTACAGTTTTCAATTGAATCGTCATGCATTAAAGTTGTTTTCTTCAAGAAGTATTTCCCTTGTTTATAATTTCTGGCATTTCGATCTTGTCCAGGTATCTCCTCTCTGTTTTTATGCATCCTTCAAAAAATGTTGACAGGACATATCAGTATGAAATTGATTCTATCCAACTTGACTTTTACCTCCCAGTTTTCCACCAATCTGTTTCAATCTTTATAACAATGGCCTACAACTGTTTTCCTTATGAAATAATGATTCAACATTTTTTGGAAGAGTTATTGCCCTTTTTTTCTTTTTATTATTTCCTCCAGTGTTTTTTTACCAGGCCTCGTCACAGCATTTTGATGAATATTTTTTTAAGTATAATTGCCTTTATTGTTTTTTCTGTCTGCATTTCCTATGTTTTATCATTAATACATGTATTGTACTAGCAGTAGACCAGAAAATATATTGTCCTGTCCTGCTTCACTCTTGTTAATCAATTTCAATGACTATGAAATGAAGCCGTATTTTCCAGAACTGCATCTTGATTGAGCATTTCTTGAGGAGTTATTGCCCTTTTTTCATAATATTCAGCATTATCTTCATATCTGTTCCCTCAAAAGTCTGTTGCTGGACATAAGAGTCTAGTATACATATCATGCAAAGTGTATCGACCAATTTCTTGTAAATCATTAAAATGACAAATAACAAAATGCATTACTTGAAAAATACAAAATAAAACGATTTTATTTTTTCAGTTTCTATCTGTCACAAGATAA